ATGACAAACCCACATCCTGCTGATCCTCAGCTCAGATCACCTGTAGAGCTCTCTCTGCCTTTTGAACCTGTGTTACCTGTCTGTTAGTAAGGTCTTAGATTATATATATTTAAAACAAACTCACTGAACATTTTCTGAACGCATTTTTGAAATGACAAAATGACGACATCGCATGACATTTGACACAGATGTCACATTGCACATTTTTGCTTTGCTGCTCCGGTCCACCCAGAAGCTCCATCCTCCACTTTGGGAACCGTTGATTTACCGTTTGTTCAAAAGTATATTTGTGTTTTATACACATATTTCATACAAAATTATTGTTTGTATTTGTATAGGTTTATTTGGCTGTTTAAATCTTCATCACAAAACCCTGAAGAATTGATGCAGGTGTAATAAAAAATAATGCATTTAGAAAATAGTCTTATAAATGGGGGTATTGCAACATATCATATATAATTATATAGTTGGAATTCTGTGTTGTTTAAACTTCTGTAAAACCAGAGGAGTTGGTTTTAACGTATTAAACATCAATTATCCATTAGAACTAACATGGGGAACCTGTACCTTTAAGAGCTACTGTGTGAATTATGCACATTGATAGAGTCATCTCATCAACCGTGCCTCTGATTTTACAATACGTTTTTTTAGAATTCAAGGATTGAGGAACTCAGACTGTTTAACTTCCTCTTCCTCTTCCAATTTAACATGCACTTCTCTCTTCAGTCCACCTGCAGACTCCCAGAAGGAAGTACTGTCCAGAGATGTTTATGAGCCGCGGCGTTTCTTCATCTCGTCTGCTTGTTCATAGATCATGGCTCCTGATGGAGGCTCTTTTGCTGTGAATAACTGCGATCATTTCGGGGGACAATTTTCTGGCAACTTCGCCAACGGTGGTAATTCACAACTGGGCGCCGGCAGCTATTGGATTGTAGCTTTTCAGCAGCCCAACAAAAAAAAGAAATGCAATTTTTGCAGCTTGTATATTACACCTGGAGTCTGAAATGAAAACCTCAGTCTGAAAGGAAATCATATTTTTTTGTGATTGCAAAACCACTTTCCAGTCCTACATTGCACAACTGCACAAAAACATACATACATACATACACACACAGGCACACACATGGACTGATGCACTCACTTTAACAGAAAGTAAGAGCAGGATTTCTTTTTTTTAGTACTGCTCGCTACTTATTTTGCAGCCTGTAATTTTAAGCAGCGCAGCAGGAAAGGGAACAAGTCTCAGCTATTGACTGGCTTCAGTCTCACACAGAGCTGGAACACTGGGGTGGTGGCACTGCCGCTGAGAACATGTCAATTTTGCTCTTTAGAAAAGGGCCACTGCTTGAAGACTGAAAGCAAATCAACACCACCATCGACCTGGACGAGCCAAGCCTGTAAATTGCAGTCAGAGGAGAACAAAACAACAAAAACCATCATTGGGCTTTTATTGACGGCCAGCGCATCGGTTTGTAAGCCTGACTTCCACGTGAGGGCTGAAAAGAAATAATAAAAAAAAAAAAAAAAGAAGAAAATTCCAAAGTTGTTTTCTTTTGTGCTTGCCATGATGCAGTGGCTGCTGTGATACTTCTGCTGATTTAGTAAGTTTGTGTGATGGGGACATTTGAACAATTTCATCAACAAAGGTCATAATGTTCACATTTAGATCTGGTGAGAAACAGTAGTTGTTTGAGAAAATATGTATAGATTGAGTTCTCCATTGTCTTTGGTATGTAGAGCGGGAGTCTCAAACTCAAATGAGCTGAGGGGCACTGCCACTACTGTCATTTCTCTAGGGGCTGGATTTTTTTTAAGTTCATTTTTGTTTAATGGAGTGTTTGTGAATTTTTTCTACTTTCAAAATGAATCATGCGGGTTGAATTGAACCCCCTCGCGGGCTGGGTTTGGCCTACAGGCCTTATGTTTGACACCACTGTTATAAATACTCTAAACAAAACATTCAGTGTATTAACACATAAAACATTGGAATTGTTTTCCTTTTGTTTCCTCAAGGGCATAATTAAATCATTATTGATGTCTAATATGGAAGGTGAATGGGCAGAAAATGGTCCCCGGGTCTGGAGTTTGAAACTGCTTTTCTGAGTTCAGACAAAGAACAGATTTTTCTAGTACCTGGTACAGAATGTTAACTTTGTGCTGTGTAACAGACAAATGTGGATCTGTGCAGACGTCTTGTGTGCGTACAAAAACCCGTAGAGCCATCGTTCACAAATGGTCTGGAGATGCACATTCCCAGGTATGAATGGAGCCATTGAGGCAGTGGGTGACAGGATCACGGCTGAGCTAACACAGCAGCAGAGTGACCTTATTGTCAAACCTGTCTGCTGACGGCCCAGACAGCAGCTCTTTTCTTCAGATAAAATCTGGGTTTCACGGCCTCAGTTGAACAGCACGGTGCCATCCTGTAGCTCCACACTGTCACCTGGGTCACAGTGGTGAGTGCGTGTGTGTGTGTTTTTTACTCATCTTACCCTAGTGTTTCTAATGTTGTTCCTCATATGCAAGGGAGAACTGAAAACAGGGCAGACACCTACAACAGTTTAGTTTCTCTCTGCAGTAAATACTGTGCAGGTGTGGGAGTCACTGAAACAGACTGGTGTTTATAAACCACAAAAGGTCGCTGGATCAGATAGGGTCAACTACATAACAATAAAGTTGGATATTTAAAGCACATTTTGGATCATTTCCAATTAGATTTGATCTGTTGATTTGATTTTTGTTTTAGCTACTTGGCCATTACCTTCATTTTAATATTCAACTTCTGAGAAGATGCTAGGAGGTTTTAAATGAATTGTAAATATTATATAATATGTAAACTTTAATATTTCACTCTACTGTGACTAAAGACTTGATTCCACTTGAGAGGGAAAATATACAAAAGTATGGTGGATTTGAAAGCACAAGTCTTTTTAGACCAATATCATTTATTGATTTACTTATTACTTCATTTAGTCCTCCAATACCAGAGTATTTTTTTACAGTTAAGAAACTCAGGTGTGTTTGCTTAGTGCTTAAGGAAGTGGACTTGGGTCCGGAAGGTTTCAGGTTCAAGTTCCCCAGCTGCCAAGTTACCACTGAAGTGCTCTGAGCATGGCACCGTCCCCGGGGTTAAAAAGCAGAGGTCACATTTGGTTGTGTGTGTGTGTGTGGTGGTGTGCTGTGTCACAATGACAAATAGTAATTCACTTCACTTCACTATCAACACAGCTAAAAGAAGATTCCAATATGGACGTTCCTTCACTTTCCACTATAGGGAAGTAGTAGACAGAAAAGATGTTCATTCATCTTCCATAACTCTATCGTTTTTCAGGATAGAAGGGAAAGTTGGAGCCGACCCACACCTCAGGAAGGTCCACCTGCCACAGAGCCACTTATAGACGAAAACAATTATTCAGACACGCAATGTTATTGTCAAATTAACTCTTATTTTCAATAAGATTATCTTTAATTAAATTAGAATTTACTTAACTTAATAACATCTTCCGCTGACCATAAATGTCTCAATAAAATGTTTCCAGACATTTCGTTGTTTTACATTTTTTAAAATTCAAATTCCATTATTTTTGCATTCAGCTCCTCTGATCGTGCTCTGCTGCGTCTGTCCTCCTTCCTTGTCTCTGTGTCTTCTGTCTCTCATCTACTGTATGTATTTACACAGCACACTGTGGCGGGGGGAAATAATTACTTGTCCCAATTACGAATCCATCTGCTATGGTGTGTTTATGATGTGATGAGAGGGGGGAGGACGGGGGTGAGGGAGAGAGGTTTCCTCACAGAGGCAGCATAAAAGCACAAATACCACTGAGTTTCCATTAAAATCCATAAAAGGTAATTTTACTCCACACCTGATGACACAAAATGAAAATAATGATGAGGCGTATGTGTGTGTGTGTGTAGGTGTGTGTGTATTGTGAGAGTGAGACAGGGAGAGAAAGGTGTGTAGTACACAGAAGGAATTTTAGGCATGTAAAATATTTATTTGTAAGAGAATCTGTGACTGCAGCTGTGAAATTATACGCTGCTGAGAAATTTTGGAACAATATTTCCCCTGAGGTTCTATTTCATGCTACTTTATACTTTATTGTTCTTCCTCATTTTTTTTTTTTTTTACAAAACAATAACCAAGTTCTATGTCGGTACTTAATTTGTTCTCAGTTCATTTATTTCAAAAAAGTTTTTCTTCCCCTAGAATTCCATGAGTCTCCTGATGTTGATTCATTGTATTAACGTTTTTCTACTGCAAAAGAGTTGCATCAATTACACAATACAGTTTTTTTCCATTTGTATATGCAGGTGTGATATTAGGGTCAGATATTTAGAGATTTTAGTTCAATTTTATTGATATGTATATTTAAATTGATGTGATTTATATATTTGGCATTTCACAAACAAATTACATTCAGGGAATTTGGTGTGGTATCAATGAGACATATGTTTTTATACATTTAACTAATATTTGTACATATGTAATTTTTGAACTATTCTTAATTTAAGCAAACATTTGTTTTATTTAAATATTGTTTTACTATTTTTATTGTAATGATAATAATTGTTGGTATTGACAACAAGTAATATTGTTTTACTATTTTTATTGTAATAATAATAATTGTTGGTATTGACAACAAGTCAAGGAGTCAACAAGACAGTTTACATGTGTTGCTTTTTATTACATTAAAATGTATTTATTTGAAATACACTGCATGTTATTGTATAATATTGTGCAAATATATACATATATATGTCCTTGTTTACACAAACACTGTTATAACTGTGTTACAGGTAGTTTTGTTGTTTTTAAAAGCAGATGTGAGAGTGCTCTTAGTATTAACCCACATTAAATTTTATTATTTTTTTCGTTCTTTTTTTTATTTTTCATCTACATGGATTACTTTTGGATATTTTTAAAATAAATTCCATTGTATAATGCCATGCATTATATAATGGAACATAATGCTAACCTGTGTTTACAACATAAGAAGCTACCGGTGTGTCTTGATTACCGGGTGAAGGTAACACACGAGTGTAGTTACAGTTCAATCACGTTGAGACAATTTATTTAGTCGTGTCCGTCAGTTTTATTTCATTGCATATTGTATGATATTGTTCAGAATGTTATTGGATTTTTTTTCAATTTATTTATTTATTTAATTGCTTGAATTTCTTGTGTGATTACAACACACTGCACGCTGTTGTGAATGCAGCGGCTGCAGTTGCCTGCACTCACCTGTGTCGCTGTGATTTCTTCCGGGTTTTTTCTTCCTCTCTCACTTTCTGTCCACATCTCTCTGCCTCTTTCACGGTTTGTTTTGAACATCATGTCTCGCCGTTTCTGCGGTTTCCAGCATATTTAGTTACACTTTGGATCAAAGTATGATGTGTTTTTGGGCTTTTTTCATGTGTGTCGAGAGAAAAGGAAGCAGCGAGTGAGTGAGTGAGTCAGTGAGTGAGTTAGTGAGGGGGACACCTGTTGTTGTTCGCTGCTTCGGCACTGACAGGACAGAGGACAGGACAGGTGTGTCTGTGCAGACAGCACAGGTGCCGGTGAAACCACTTCATTCCACTGAAACTCTCGGTCATAACGTATCTACTCTTTACTGTTTGGACCAAGGATTCAACAGTATGAAAGTGACGGTGACCTTCGGCGACACGGCAGTGGTTGTTCCCTGTAAAACAGGCTGGACGGTGCGGGATTTAATCGACCAAGCCTCGCGGAGGTACCGGAGGATTCTGGAGCAGGTAAAAATAATTCATTACTTACCACCGAAATCATCGATCTATTTGAGTTGTTATGGTCGATACTGGCTGACTGAGTCACACCTGATCAAGTCACTTCTCCTCAGCCAATCACATGGCAGAAAACCTGCTGCGTTCTGTCTTTCAAACTGAAGTGTCAGAGCAAAGTCCCGGTAACTTTAAATGGTATCATAACAGGTGTATTGTATTAAAGAAGACGACTGTTGGATTAAAACACGTATAGCACGCACCTGTGACTTTTATTCATTATTTTTCTATATTCTCTATACTTTTATTCCTCTGTCACTACATTCAAATGTTTTTACTCTGATATATATCTCATTTGCAATTTCGGTTGAAGGTTTGATGAAGTTGGCTTATCGTTGGGTTATCAGTAGATAAACTTGCTAGTGTGACTCCACTTTCATGTATGGGACTCCTGTACTTTATAAAACTCAAGAAAGCAAACTGGAATTTCCAGCTTGGAAAACAACTCCTATAGTAGACTACTGCAGCTAAACTAGATACAGTGCTGTACTGTACTGTACTGTACTGTATGGTGTATAGAAACCAGGTGAAGCTGCTGTACTTTTATTTTGGAAGTATTTGTGTACAACTCCCTTATTTCATAATAAACTAGTTATAATCCACCCTGTCCAGTTCTTATTTAAATTATCCCTACTTAGTGAAGTCTCTATTTATCAGGCAAAAATACTAGTTTGAAGCTTTCAAATCTATAGCTTATTAAAATTAAAACAAACAAACAAACAAAAAAACAAACAAACAAAAAAAAACAAAAGTTGAAATGTCTTGGTGCACAACTGTTTGACATTTACAGCTCCACAAAACAGCTAGCTAGTTAGCCCATCATCCAGCTGTGGTTGATCCCTGTCTCAAACCTTTGTCTCTAGAGAATAAGCCACTTATTTAGAGGGTAAGCCCCAGCATTGAAAGCTGATTTTTGTGAAAAATCTTGTTTTCATAGTTTTGTCGCATTATCGGGTTTTAATGAAACATTTACAAAACATTGTCAGCACTAGATTGTGGTCCAAACTTTGTTTTAAATTTCAGTCCCTCGAGTGATTGAGTTTGACACCCTCGTCTGTCCCATGCTGTTTTGGAAATGTGCTAATTAATTCTTTTTGCTGCCATTTGTAACATATAAGCGTGCATATGTGACAAATCTCTGTATATGGGGCCCTGGTTCTGTCCCTGTGGTTAGTTTGAAGGCTGTGTGGTTGACTTTCTCGACTAAAACTGGAATGTGTGGATTCAGAGCTGAGATCACTTTAAAATAAACTGCTAAAAAGAGGAAGGTCTTCATGTCAGCTCACTGGTAGACCGATACACATGGCTGTAAATCACCACACACACACACACACACACACACACTCACTCACACACTCACAAACACTCTTCAGGGACCAACCCAGGGTTTCTGACAGGTTACCTGCTGACAGCAGCAAAATCAGTGGGAATAGAAATGTGTGGTCACTCTGGGCAGTATGTGGGCTCTGCTGGCAGGAGGAGGCGGTCAGATGTATTTAGTCCTCCAGCTTTCTGGCACTAACAGAGCCGGACTGTCCTGCTGATGAGCCGCAGCCATTAAGAGAGGCCGACAGACGGCTGAGTCAGCGTCTTGCAGCAGTTCCTAATTAACATGCTCTGTTAGAAGCAATCAAATCCTCTGTGTGCTTTTGGATTGCACTCACAATTATACTACTTCAGACTGTGCAGTGAAGAAATCTCAGCCAGAATCAACAGGAACTCAAGATTGGTATCATGAACTGCAGCTAATTGGGTACTGGTTTCTTGTTTGTCGGTTCCAAAATAGCAAGGTATTTACTATATATATATTTTACTAATAAAACTTTGTGTTGTCTAGTTGCGATATAGAAAGCTATGAAAGGTGTGTGCTTAAATCAGCAAAAACACTGAGATACTTGTCATGTACTTCTGACTGACTCCGACTTTGACAGTAAAAATAGAAGTGATGATAAAAGGTAAAATATCTTCTTAAATGTAGCCATGCTATGGCTCTTTCACAGTCCAATCTAATGTAATGAGCATTAATAACAGAAAAGAACGATCGCTGAGCAGCTGTTGGGCTGGGAAGCAGAGATGTGACGTCTTAGGGGACAGTAAGTTCCCATGTGTCTCAGAGATTGTATATACAGGAGTACATCTTCACCTTCCAACCCCCATGTGGCTCCATCACAACCAATCAGCAGAGGGTCCTTTTGGAGGTGGGGTTAAGGAGGGAAACAGGGCAGCGGTAAACCAACGCCCATCACCAATCACAGGACAAAGCCTCCTGTCTTGGCCTGACAGCTCCGATCGCAGCCACGTTGAGGAGACTGAACAGTGAATTCCCACCTGCCCACCGAGATACCAGGGACTGAAACAGGGGGCTTTTGTGGAGGGTGGACAGTTGAGGCTGCAGCATTTACACCCTCACTAAGACAAAGACACACATTAGTGCACTATCACAGCAGGACAGCACGCACTTAGTACAACGATGCTGATTAATAAAAGGTCACGCCGGCAGGATGATTAATGTTCGAGTGACTGCAGCACTGGCAACCAGAGAGCGAGTGGGGAGGGTCTTTGTGTGTAGCGCAAGTGGCAAGGATTTGTAGGCGATTGCTAAATCTTAACAAGAAACCATTTTAGCAATTCAATAAATTGTATGGGCTGTCTGTTGACAATAGATACTTTTTTAAAAAACATATACTTATACTTTTTTTATTGAAAATCTTCGCTGTCTGTTGACAATAGATACTTTTTTTATTGAAAATCTTATTAATATTTAACCAGAAGGTTGTTGAGGAAAAGTCTAATTAAAAAACTGTGGGAAAGAACGATTAGTTTCATCCCATGTGGCAGTGGTGTTTTCACAGTAGCAGTAGTCACAGAGGAACAACACACTAGACCAGTTGTTCTACAACCAAAGAGATATGATCAGTTTGGTGCTTTAGTGCATGTCTGGCAGAAAAGCTGCGTGAAAGTCGAGTTAATTTATTTTGTATTTCAGCCTCTTTGCTGGGTTGTTGGTTTTTGACCCCTATATAGCAACAGGATGGTGACCTGAGGGTTTACATGTTGAGGCAAAAGAGAAGCACGTGTTTGACCCCTTTACCCAGTCTGGAAAGTCCCACAAACAGTTGTTGTCATGTTAACATGCCAATACACATCTGACTGTAAACTAAAATTTCTGTATTGTTAACACTCCTGCACCAAAGTCCTGTAGAAAAATGAAAAAACAAAAAACAAACAAACAAAAAATGGATCTGGCTTGTAAAGAAGCAGAAGCTGTTGCACAGTTTTAATTAGCCGTGGACGTCTCTGGGCATGTTATGATTCAATTTGATTACAGTTAGGAAATTATTATAAAAATATAATTTAAATCCAATATTAAATTCCAAAACACAACAGTTTACATAATCAGAAGTCCCCCTTGTTCACACATAAATTATAGTCAAGGAAAAGAAATCACTGAATTCCTCAGAAACAAACAACAACACGCTAAGTGATCAGAAAAGTCAAATCCAGTGTCCATAATGAAATTCCTTTCTAAATAAAAATAGTTTCATGACTAGGTAAAGGAAGAGAATGTCACATCTTATGGATAATTTATACTAAAGTGAAAAACATTTGCGATATGCATAGATAGGCCTTTTGCCAGTTGTGCAAAAAAAGACGTAAATCTTTAGCAATAAACGTTAAAGTGAAATGTTGGAGCACATGTGTGATGTGTTTCCAAAGATTATATATATCCTGTCTCTTCCTTTACCTCATTGTTTCCCAAAAACTGGGTCACGACCCTCAGGTGGGTCGCAAGAGATTTTTTTGCATCATGTTTCCCAGGAGTTTATGAATAATCTCTATTGACTTGCATCACAAAGGTTTGTGACTTAAAATATGGGTCCCCAAAAAAACAGTTTGGGAAACACTGCTTTACTTCATAAAAGCTGAATGCTGCCATGTCACCTTTAAAGACAGGGGGTCTTTTAATTTATGGTAAATTAATCTACATCACAATAAAACACGTTATGCATCTATGACATCTCAAGATCTGATTGGTTCAACCGAGCCCATTATTAACCCCATGGATGGCAAGGTCTTGTTTTTAAATAATTGATTATGGATTTCTCTTGATTGATTTATGATCACTTAAGAGACAAATGTGATTTATCAGGAAAATTGATACATATTCACAGCCATTCTTTTAATTACTAGATACCAGAAAAAAATACCAGACAAAAGGGAAACATATTTGTAATCAGGAATAATAAAATTTGAATAATTAAATAACGCTTGTAGATTCAAAACTGCTATGTTGTTGCTATAGCAACAAAGTTAGACTCTAATGAAGTGGCGTTGGTACAAAACGTCTAATTAGTCATATCTCATCCATCATGGCTGGTTCTCAAGGCACCATATTGTTAATGAAATTGCTTCCATGTAAAGCACTGTATATGTTCTGGAGACTGTGATTGCAGGAGAACGGAAAGGTCAAGTCTTCCTGTCATCCTCCTTCAGAGAGAAAACTCCCTCTGAACTCCTCATCGACTCATCCTTTTTTTTTTTTTATCATCCGTCACAGCTAAATCCACACCACTGTGTAATTACACATTCTTCTGAGGATCAAAGTGTGAAATAGCACCCCCTCCTCTTCACCTCCGCCACCGCCACCGCCACCATCACAGCAAATTTAGCTGCACTAATCATCCCTGGAGCTTCGCCGTTCTTGAGAGGTGTCGTGTTTGCTCAGCGGCGAGGTAGAGCGAGAGAGAGAGAGGTGGGGGAAGAAGGAGTGATATTGCTGTAAATGGTGGGAGATTTAATGGTGTAATTTGTCGGAAATTTGCTCCTTCAACTGTCACGGTAATTTCTTTTTCACCGTTGATTGACTCGTCCGTGAACTGCTTTTGTTTTTCGCTTGGCGGGAAGAGTCAGGAATACAAAGGGGATTTACAGAGAATTGACAACAGAGGGTCTATTATTTCTTTTTTTTTTACTCTTTATAGATTCCCCTCCCTCTGAAGTGTCATACATTCACCCCTTTTCATCACAAGGTAAAAAAAAGAGAGTAAAAAAGCTCTTCTGTGAGAGCTTAAGCTTGGCCTGCAGAGGTCGTGCTAATTAACACTCGGACATTTTTCCCTCTCTATTCCACTGTCGGGAATTAATCCTCCACTCTCTACTTCTATTAGGTGTGATCCCTAAAGCCGTGAGTGTGATGCCCTTCCCTTCTGTGCTGACACACACACTTACACACACACACTCACTGGCAGTGTCAGTGTAATGTAGAAAATGCCTTTGGTTCTTCAGGAAAGACTGGTTTTCCAGGAGAGCTGTTAATGTTTTGCCCTGACGTCACCGCATGCGTTTGCTGCTCCACCAGTTTCAGCTTTTGCATCCTTCCTGAGCCTTTAGCTGCTCCATTATCTGCTGATCTACTGTAGTTCTGTCTCTGTTAGTGCATTTCTTAAATTATTCACTGTTGACCTCAAAATGCACATGAAATACAAAGCAGAAGTTTCCTTTGTTCATAGAACTTCTCATCTGAAATGGTTTATGGTTCAGTGAAGCAGATCTGGTTCCTGTGTTTAGCTGTGCTTAGCAGCAGCAGCAGCAGCAGCAGCAGCAGCAGCAAGAGGCTGGGTAGATTTCCCGCTGTATGGGGTGTGTTCTCTTTAACGTCTGTGTGAGACAGTTAGAATGACACACAGGTGGAATGTGGCCTCCACCTCTCCGGACAGAGCCGCAGAACTGGAAAGGTTCCTCCCCCACTCTCACAAAGTGTCATAACAAACAAAACTTTTTTTTTAAAACCTAATATTGAGCACGTGCAGTAATGTCAACAACGTTGCGTGCCAACTCAAAGCTCACTCTCCTGCACCAAAGTCCAAAGATAAATATCAGCATTTTTAGCTTGTGACAATGACTGCAGCTACATCATGAGGTAGTTGGTACGAGGGATTTGTGTCATTTTAGTACATTAAAAAGACGTTTTTCAAACCGTAACATCAGAACATATATTATCAGTCAATGTAGCTGTACCAAAAAAGTATCAACCATAACAATTTAATTATTTTTCGTCTACTTAGAATCTATTGTATAATAAATGTTTTTGCTAACCATTTTTATCTGTTCATTTTTTTTAGTATGAGGATCTTAGTGTGAAGATCCACCACTTGGAGTACACCGACGGAGGTATCCTGGACATGGACGACCTGCTGAATGAGCTGGTGGAGGACAAGGACAGGGTAAGGAAAAGGACATGGTGTTTTGTGAAAGCAGGTTTTTTTTTTTTTTTACCCAGCTCTGCGCCTGCTTTGCTTGATTTGTTTTGTTTGTGTGAAAAAAATGACAGGATGTCAGAATGTGAAATAAACAAGGGTTCTTTGAGATCCAACATGGTTCGCTGATCTCTTACCCTCTGCCTAAGACATCAGTCTCAAAGATGTGTCTTTTAGGCCATGTGCAGCAGCCTAGTAGATCTTCTCGGACACACAGCTCAATATTTAGTTGTTCAGCTCCTCCTTGTCTTCACCATATTTAGTTGTTCAGCTCCTCCTTGTCACCAGTTACTGACGAGTATTCTGTGAATATCAAATGGCGTAACGATTGGCAGTCGTACATTAACTGTCCTAGGAAATAGTTGGATTTTAGTGTTTTCTTTAAAGATATACAGTATGATTAATTCTTGGACTTCAAAAATGTGTCTTCTTCAGTGGTGGGGGGTGGAGGGTGAGGGTGGGGGGGCAGGCTCCAGTGGGCCATAGAGCTATTGCAGGAGGGGAGAAGTAAAACAAATGAATTTGAATTTTAACATCATCATTATCTTCATTCTTCATTTTATTTAGCCAAAAATGGGAAAACTGATTGATTCTTAATTGTTTTTTCTTTGTCCTCTGAGAAAAGCATTTTTGTCGGAATTAAAGTATTTTGAATCTACAAAAGAACAGCCACTGCAGAAAATGACTAAAAAAGACTGGTCTAGTCTATCAGTCTGGCCCAGTGATTGACTGGTTTACACACTACTTGTTGAGACAAGAAAGCTTCTGTCATAAACTCTAAAGCAACAAGTATTTTTTTTTAAACAAAAGCAGTTGTAACTTTTACTGCATGGTGAACTACATCGTCCTGAGGCTATTTGTGCTGTGACAACAGCAGCCCACTCAGGCTGACTGAGTGACCAGTATTGTAGTAGACTCAGCAGCACGGACTGGGGTGTTCTCTAAAACCACTTCACACTCAGACATACAGTGGTCTCTGCTTCACATTTTCATCCTGCTGGATAATTTTCCATAATGCATTTCTAAGATATGCTAATTAACTACTGAAACTCCATATTCATAAAAACCTCTGGTCAGTGATGAATTACCCGTATATAGTCAGCAAGAAAGTCATGGAATATTTAGCTTAGCAAAGACACTCAGTGTTTTCATACTTCACTAACAATGGTGTGTGTGTTTGTTTGTTGCTGAAAGTAATCTCTGTGAGGAGGAAAATTGGGACAGAACTGAATAATACATTTGTAAACTCAGTGGGAATCTTCAACAGCAGAAAGAAAATAAAAAGCATTAGCGATCACGAAGAACAGAAGCCTCATTTTCCCCTAGATGATGGAGTTATAATCATGAAATCTGCATCTTTTTCGTGCCTAAGACGGAAAAAAAACATTTTTAATGATTCTTTTTTTTCCGCACAAACAAAAAAACAAAACTTCTCCCTATTTTCCCTCGTCCTCAGCGATGACAGATTGTCACAAATTAAACCCACTTATTTTTCTCTAACGCTCACGGATTTTGTAAAGATACAGACAAAACCTGCACAAAGCAGGTTCCATTTCTCTTTTCTTTGTTTTCCTGACTCTCCCAGCTCCTACCTGTCTCTCCTCTTTGCTTTTGTTCCAATTTCATCTCATTTTTTCATTTTTCGCTGCAGATCAAAAGATAGCAAAAGGAATAGGACGAGTGCGCGCGGAGTTCATAATGTGCCAATCATCTGACTTATCTGTGGACTTCCAAACAGCGCCGAGACTCTCCCAGATTAATGAGCTGCATCTGGCAGTCTTGATTAATCCCACTTCCTTTTGTTTGTCTACATTTTTATTACCCCGCCGCAGCTGACAGATTCTATCTTTAGTGCTTTTCTTTTCGCTCTTTTGTTCGGTTATTGTGGCTGCTGCTGTTTTGCCATCCATCATACAGGAGTGGTCCCATTGTGATGGCCCTCTGCCGCACAGCATGGGCCCCGTGTTAGCCACGGATGCTAATGAGAGATAATGGTAAGCTATTTGTGTGCCCAGTTGTTAGCGTAGCCACGAGTTCAGACCTCTTTATTTGGAGCCAGACCCCCGACTATTATTCAACACTCGCATAAAAAAACACTGAACACACACACGCTTGCAAGTAAGCAAACACGCAAAATGTGCCTGCTGTCTCTGTCAACCCACAGGTAGGCGAGCGTTGTTCTATATGTTAGTGTTAGTGTGTCAGGAAGCAAAGCCATTGGTGGTTGATGAGTCGTCGTCTCTGCTACCATGCAAACACATTCATATTCATTATGAATAATCATGAAACAATGTGACATTTCCTCTCATGTTTAATCTCATTTAGGAATTAAATGGAAATCTAAGACGTTTTTTTTTTTTTTTTTTTTTTTTATATTGTTGCCCTGACAATCTGTAAAATCAGAATATATGCCTCAGCTTTATTTCGGTAAAATACCTTTTTTTTTTAACTCTGGCATAATCGTCCGTTCAAGTTTTGTGTAAATTGAAGACAGAATTTCTTCAGCTATCTGTTTATGGTCTCGTTTGATTTGAATACAATTTCATTACTTCAGTACTTTTTCAAGTTTGATGGGAAACCTTTAAAGGCCAACATTTCAGTCCATTTCCAGTAGTAATTTAGACATCGAATTCTAAATGACCTACCATCACTGTAGTTTATGAAAACATAAACTTAAACATTGTTATTACTATGTATGTACAAACCACACGTACATAATAACACATCATGTTACTTTCTATGTACAGTGTATGACTAATGTTTTGTCTACCTACAATTAACTCTTTGGCACAGAATCATCACACAGTTGTGTTGGGAGGTGGTGCCATTGGTGGTAGATGAGGCTCTAGAGGAGGAGGAAGCTGCGATTTGATTACGGTTTTGCCCCCTGCATTTAGACACGTGCACTCGCTGTGCCAAACATTCACGCCACTGTGCACACACACACACCTGCTTTCATTATGACCCGGCCTGGAGTCTCTGTTTGAATATTAATATCGATGTGATGAATGTGCAGGAAGCAGCGGGGCGCCGGCTGAGGTGTGACCACATGTACACGGTCCAAACTCCGAAACAAAAGATCACAGAATAAAGAGAACACTGCAGGTCACAATGCAGACAATTATACTGTGTGGATCTGTCCTCATCTGCTGGGAGAGTGTGACCGGTTCAGGCGCCCCGCTGTGCTCTGATGAAGCCCGGACTCATTGATCTGTCAGGCATCTCACTGATTCATTCAAGGTGGACGTAGGTGGGCGGACGTCGACATCTGTCAGTCTGTCCTGTTGTTTGCGCTGCGCTTGTGTTGAGCAGAGCTAGCTGGCCCCGTGTCTCTGATGGCGCTAATTTTCCACATCTACAAATGAATAGCAACAGCATGGACTGAGTGACGGTTATTATAGTGCTTTCAAATTAAGAAGAAAAGCAACCCTTCGGTAATAGAGCTCATTGTTCTGATTAAGCAGAGTATTTATATCTGAGCAGCAAAGTCTGACATGACTGGACCACTGTTTTAGTGATTTAGTCACACAAGAATGTAAGGCTGTCTTTCTCTTCTTTTCTTTTCTTTCTTCTTATGTTTCCTCTCCTCTCCTCGCCTCTCCTGCTCTCCTCTCACAGCTGTCTCCCAGTGTGATGTTACTATTTTTTTAGAGCGTGAGACTTAACTTTTCAACATATTCTTCAAATCTTGATTGTAGTTTTGACTTTTTAATAGCGACATAACTCACATTAAAAAACCCTCCCGTTTTCTGCTTTGCTTCCTGCGACCCGGTGGAGAAAAGAAAGTCGGTGAAAGCAGATCGCCTTCTCCTAAGTGGACTGTCACTCCTCATTCCACCTGCCTGAACACATGTGCACATTACTTTACACGGACCTCTTTTTAAAGGCAGGAAAAACACATTAAGGAATCTTGACCTTCCTTCTAGTGCAGCCAATGAAAAATCTAATTTCATGGGAAATTAAATGGAAAAGAAAAATGAAATGATTTCCTCCATCTCTCCTTAATTAGCTGCCTTTTTAATCACAGTGCCTAGGAGGCACAGATGATCCTCCTGAGCAGACTGTGGTTGCTGGAATGGAAATGTTCTCTGAAATGTCAGCTGTGTGATTTGGAGGCCATTTCCCATCATGCATCGTTGCAACTTGCATGTAAAAATGTATGAAAGGCTTGAACTTCCAATCATTCACATGTAAAATTCATTAGGCCATGATAATGAGTGTTTGTTTGTGAAGGAGTAATTAAGGCTTTAAAATCTAATGGTATATTATTATGGTACATAGTAAGAATCATTTAAAGAGATAGTTTTTTTTTTTTTTTTTCAAGTGCATTTTTACCACCTGCACGTTCAGTCTTACTTTAAGCATGGCTGCCAGGACAGACACTAAAAACTCACCCTTTTTAAATTCTGGGTCTACTCCAATCTGCTCCAAAGTACTCCAAAGTACCCACGACCGCTCATCTGGGGAATGTCTTCTGGCCATCCCAACACCTCGTACAAGACAGTCTAGGCTCTTCTCATGCTGCTGGAATGAGCTACCGAGCACCACCAGAACAGCAGCATCCTTTGCCAAAAAGCTCTTGAAGACCCAGCTACTCAGAGAGCTCCTCCTGCCCTGGCACTTTACTAACTTCCCTTCTTCTTCTGCACTCAAGTTAAGAAGTCCCACTTTACTAAATAGCAGTCTCTTTTCAAGAGTTCCTCTATGTGGCTTGTATTATTAATCCTCCTCTTCTAAGCCCCTAGGGATAACAGTGTCTGCTGAATGGATAAATGTTGATGTAATATTCGTAAAATATCAACATTATGTTCACTGAAGCTCATAAACCTTTGGCTCTACAACGAACAACATTAATGTTTCTCAGGTTGAAGGAAAACAGTAGCTGTTGTGACAGCAGTTTAACCGTTCCTCAATACTATTATCAGAAATTTTGCCTGTGATGATTCTCCCCCTCCCACCCGCCCCTC